CTGAGAAGCTAAAGCCACTTCAGCACCTGTTTGGTCCCCGGAGACGACCACAGGGCGCAGCAGACCTCTCCTGACCGCCCACTGCTCCCTCAGGAGAGTACTTCGTCAGTCTGACTGTTCTGCTCCCCACTCTGTTGCTGGTACAGGCCCTGCACCTCGGGCCTGTACCCCAGTTCCGTGTGCATGAATAAATCTTTTTTAGAAAAGAAAAAAGGGCAGGGTAGTGTTCCCTCCACTTCAGCGGCATCATGGTGACGGGAGACTTCCTGGGCCAGCGGCTAAGCGGAGCAGGTCGCAATCAGGAGCGCCCAGTCACTGTGGGCCCCGGGCTCCTCCTCCCCCCCCCACGCAGCCTCCCTGGGGAGTGACCTGGGGTCTCTGATGGGGAAACTCGTGACGCAACATAGCAGCAGGTGACTTGCTCGCCAGACTATGCTTGTTTAGCCTCTGCCGCAGCGGCCTGGCAGGGTCTCCACCTCTGGTGGACACTCCATTCAGCGGACAGTGGCTCTCATCCACCCGGCCACACGTGGCACACACAGGGCCACGCTTGTCCTCACAATCAGTGCTGAGGTTGTGTCTGTTCTGCAGGTGCGGGGCCCCAGCTCAGAGAGGGACTTTGTCCAAGTAGGTGGCTGAGCCCAGGTTCGAACAAATCACGGACTTCAGGGCCTACCTGGCCTGCCTGCCACCGGCCACCGGCCACTGGCCACCAGCCCCGGCGCTTTTGTCTCTGCAGCCTGGAAAGCGCTGCACAGGAGGCTGAGATTCTTGTGCTTAGCAAAGTTCTTATTAATACCTTCAAGTGGCCTTTCCAATTTACCTGTCCCTTGCTGGGGACCTTTGGGGGGGCAGGTGCAGTTAGCTGGCACCGGGAGTGGGCCCTGGCTGCTCCGTGGGTTACCCGGTCAGCCGTGTGTTTCCAGGCGGGTCGCAGGCTTTCAGGGCGGCCCCCGCGGGGTGCAGCTGGCGCACAGCCGGCCCCCGGAGTGGTTGGTGTTTGGAGATGCCCCCCCAGCCCGGGACAAAATTAAGCCCTGCCCGAAAGCACTGCTAAGTTGGGAGCCCAGCTGCTGCTATGGTGGCATTTGAAAGGCCAGTGGGTGTGTCACATGTCGGAGCAGGCAGAGATGCCGGGAGGCCTGCCAGCATGTTGGAGTGAGGTGAAAGCTGGCCCCTGGGGGCTGCTTTCTGTGGGCTTCTGGCTGTTGCGATGTGGCTCTGCGAGCGGCTGCCCACCCCACCCCCAACCGGACAGTGGTCTACAGTTGGCGTCACTGCCGAGGAGCCTGCTGTGGGTGACCCGTGTGTGCCCCGTCAGGAGGGTGCTGGGAGGCCACTCGAGTCCTGCTGGCCTTGCTGTAGGCTGGGCTCCGTTTTCCTAAGCTTTACCAGCAACCTTCGGACACAGTGCTGAAGGTGGGCAGCGTGGCTTTGGTCAGGCCTGGCCAGAAAAACTGGGGACAGCCCAGGCCCCACTGACGGGGGCAGAGCGCGCTGGTCTCCGGAGGGCGCGGCCTCCACCGCACACGCGACCTTGTGCACGCCCACACACGCACGGCAGCGTGGCTCAGTGTCCCGCCGGCGTCGCGTGAAGCAGCAGGCCACGGCCGTGTTCCCAGGATCCCGGCGTGCGTGTAAGGTTCCCCTCCCCGGCTCCATCACAGAGCCAGGGCCGACGGGCCCAGACATCAGGTCCGGCCTATGGCCAGGAGCCTTGGCCCGCCAGGCCCGGTGTCCGGCGGCGTCGCGGTGGGAGCCCAGCCTGGCCGCCCCACGCAGGAGTGGGCGTCAGGCCCTGGGTGGGGGGGCCACAGCTTCTTCCTCCGTGGACCGTCAGGAGCATGGTGACGCCACGGGGCTCCAGGCCCGCCAGTGGCCACGCGCGTCTGTGCACGTGTCCCTCTAGGGTGCCCGGGAGTGTCCGTGCGCATGTGAGCCACGTGTTGACCGCACCGTGGCCACTGCCTGGAGGCCCCGCTGTGACCGCCCCCCCCCCCAGCTCCAACAGCACCAGACTCGCGGTCTGGGTCACCAGCGCTGCCTGGCTGGGCTGCTGACCGCGGTTGTGAGAAGCAGGCGCTGGGGCCAGCGTCGTCCACCCCAGCCTGCGCGGCCCTCGTCCGGAGCGGGCGCCTGCCCAGCCTGCCCCCCACGCCGGTGCTGGCCCGGGCTGCCACCGCTCCGCGGGTGAGTGGCCGGCTGTGGCCCTTCCTCAAGCCCGGGCGGGGCTGGTTGTGGGGTGGGGACGCTCCACTCCTTTGCTCCCGGCAGAGCTGCCCTCAGCGGGCCCCCGGGGCGCGTGCGGGTGCCCGGCGGGCTCTCGGTGCCTCCCAGCCCTTCTTGCCCACCCAGGTCCTGCCGCTCGCGGCGCCGCAGCAGGCGGACACGGCGGCGGCCCTTGACCCCCAAAACAAACCAGAGAAGCAGGAACCGGCCCCACCTCCCCGTGTGTCTGCTCTCCCGCCTGCTTGGCCTCACGGGGGGTCAGCGCCTGACCACCGGGCCTGCTTTCAGGCAGCGGCGGCGGCTTTGGGAATTGAGA